ACCTGTTCTTGAAGTGAAAATTTGATGAAGACATTAAACCCCACAATATTTTAAATGTATATATCTAAAATATCTAGTCATCTTAAGCAGGATTCTATTTGTACATGCACATCATCTATGTGTGTGTTTTACAGAGCTGAGCTACTGCAGCTACGATTTGTTTAAAATCCAGTTCAGACTCCTCAGCTAAGCAGAACAATTAAAAATAAACTACTAAAAGAATAGAAATGAAAAAGTATATCTACTCCTTATTTTTATCTTCTCAAGTATCGGGGATGACACTTAACTTTTACAACACACATAAAAAAAGAGAATTATTTACTCTCAGCCATAATATTTTTTTGTAGAATCTGCTTAAACAGGAAAAAAAATTAAAAATTATATTAGTTCCCTATTTTAGAAATTAGAAAGTTAACTGTCTAGGTCTGTTGCTTTCCTATGGCTGACAGAGTACATCTCAAATAGAAGCATTCAGATAGTGCTGCATGTGGTATTGGATTATTATCTCCTGCCCTTTCTAGGCTCCGTTTGATATCAAGGTGTTTTAAAGCTGGGTGAGCACACATTCAGGTCTCTTTAGAGCTTATGTTGTTTAATAAAAAGACTATACAATACAACTGTTCATAGGGGATCTTATTTGAAGACTCTCTAGATAACAAAAAAAAGCTATTTAATAAAAATGATAACCCTTGTGACTGAAAAAAAAATCTATTAAATGAAAAATGCTCCATTCTGACAGTTTTACATTTGCTTCTTCTTGCTAAAATATCAAAAAGGGATCATTGGGGAAATATAATAGCTAGCAATGTAGGAAGAAAAGCTGCAGTAAAAGTAGCAGCTTAGAAAAAGTGATTGACATATTCAATACCATGAATGAGAGAGAGAAGTCATGATGCCATGGTGTATGGGAAATAATCCATATAGTTTCATTGCTGCTTAGGTAAACAGACCAGTTTTTCCAGATAGTGAAACTGTTCAATTACTAGGTTTTGTGGCAATACTGAAAAAGTTATTACGTGGTCCAGTAATTTCTGTTTCAATTTCCACGTTTTTGTATTTGTGTACTCATCTGCAAGATTGCACTTGTTTAATACTAATCCGAAACATTATCTTATGTAAAAGTTAACCCTTTAGCATCACTTTAGCACCTGGCACTTTATTCTTAAGGCCATCTGTAACATGGGAGGCGTGGAAGAATGATGAAGAGGGGCAAATCCAAGGAACACTCCTTCAATGAACTTTGCAATTGGTCCCTGTTGTAATTAATTATGTTTCACACTTCTAATCACTGAAAATTATTTTTGGCAGTAATGTGTGCTGAGTAATCAGAAAGAGATGCAGACCACACCTGAAGGGGAATGACATGGTCTGACTTAGAAGTAATGCCACTATCAAAATGTTTGCCTTTCATGTGTCTGTGCTTTTAAAACAGAAAAAAAACATCTGCAGAAACACTGAGACCTGCCACAGATAATGAAAGCAAAAGGTGATCAAATTTTCTTTAGTCACCGTCCAAATAGAAAAGTTATCTTATGGTAAGAGAACTATTAACATGTTCCCTCTGCACTTTATGTTACTCTCTCTTCTTATTGCTTTCTCTTAAAAAATTTATTTCTGCTGCATGGTATTATCTATGTGTTTCCCTAGACTTCTCATTTACCTCGAGTGTGTACACTTATGTTCAAATTAGAAGGATTAGGAACTTGTTAGCGATTTCTATGACTGCTGAATGAGACTGCATTATTACAGTGATTTTTCAGAAGCACAGAAGCCAGGAAAACATTTGCATTGTATGAAATTTAAGAAAATGAGTTTAAGAAAAGCATGACTCATATTCACTCTAGTACTGAAATTTTTAAGCCCGAATATGCTCACAAGCCTCATATGCTCACAAGGTGCATGTCAGTATGTGCCAGTTGTTTTATACTGACCCTTAAAGGCATACTTAAGTTTACATGTAATTTGTAAATATAGCTTGGGCACGCTCAGAATTCAAATCAGGCTTTGGGGGGGGGGGGGCATAAAAATATTTGCTGTCACTGAAAATTAATTTAATAAAAAGGAATTAATTTTAAAATGAAAATGTATATGCATTCTCTATATTGTGGCATGGGCACATACAGTTAGTAAATTTTCACACTAAAGGTAGTTTCACTTTTGTCTTCTCAATTAATGATGTACACAATACAGTGAACAAAACTGTCTGTTTCCCTTATGCCAATGTATATGTTATGGTGTTTTTAAGACATGGATATGTGTCCTTTCAAAAGTGAAAGTATCATATTTTGCTTGGTTTGCTGCTTAATAAAAAACCCTGCTGCATTCTGTGCATCGCAAAAAAACCTCAAACCAACCAATTCTTAGTAGTTCACTTTTTATGAAAAATATGTTAAAATTTTAGTTCTCCTTAAATTAAATTCTTTGGAAGGAGGCATACCTGGGTCAGGAATCCAGAATATAGCCTATGTTTATACACCTGTGGTCAATTTTTGGATGCATGTATCAAACAATGTTTTACTCTATTTTATATGTAGGATAAAGATGTAAATCATGTCTGGCAAGGTTAACCCTAAATAATCTCTTTTTCTTTCTTTTGATAGTCCATATTCTTGATAAAATAGACAACAGCCAAATCTTTTTGTTAACTGGCATAGTTTACACTAAAACTAATCAGTTTTACAGTAAGTAAACATCTGATTTTGAACACAAATATTTATTTTAATGTTTCAATGCCAACAGAGCATATATATCCAGTTTGAGCAGTTTTTACAATGCAAGCAGCAAATCAAAGGAGCAGTTCTTATATAAAAGCATTTCAACAAATCCTTCATGTGCAATACATTATTTTCATTATTTGTAAACACAGTATTAAATATGGTATAATTGAAAACTACCAGCTGAATCATTCAACATGTTCTTTTTTCAGTGAAGCTAATATTGTATCTTATTCGACAAAGGAAGATTTAATTTGAGTTTAACTTCAAAAGATGGGCTGGAAATACTAAGCAGTCTATTAACTGACAAGAAAAACATACTTTAGGATAACAGAATATTGCAGTAAAGCAAAAAATTAAGATTTCTTACTCATTTAAGCTTACCTCTTCAGAGCCAGAGCCAAAAATCAGAAGGTCAAAAGGTATTGCAGCAACCATGTCAATTAGGAACCAGCCTTTGAAGTAGTGAATTGCTATTTTTGCTGGGTCACTTACCACTTCTTCATTCTGGTTTACATATGTTGTTCTGAAGTTTATTAGAATGTCAATGATAAACATAATATCCACAATTAAATCTACAACATTCAGTGGGCTGCAGGAATATCCACACTCTCTCCTCTTCCGTTCCTCACTATCATTCAGAAGGAAGGCAGCAGAGTAAGGGGTGAATATGGCAGTGTATATTACCAGCAACAAAATGAGCCAGTCCCAGACGGCTTTGAAAGGACTATAGTGCAATATAGTAAACTTGTTGATGCGAGGCGTCTGGAGTTTATATTCTGGTAGAACATCAGCCCCTAAGGATAGGACCTAGAATAAGAAATATACCATATCAGTAATCAGACAGTGTATCTATTCAAACTTTCAGCAAAGGTAGAAAATACAGGACAAACTTTAAAAGTTCATTGTAGTTTTGAAAATTAAGTTTCAATCAGTTGGTGTTTTGGCAAACTAAACTTCTGTGAAATTCATGATCTCTGCCAGAGATTAACAATTTTGCACAGTGGGTTGATTCTTGTCCCTGGTACCCATCATTAAGTGGCACACCTAGTCCATAAAATCTGTATAATTAGGCATGTCATCAAGTTCATTTATCCACCACATGATAATTTTGCCAGCCTGTTCATGGCCAGTGAAAGTCTTTTCTTGCAGTGATGTAATGTTTTTCCCCCAAAGCAAATCTGTTAGCATTGGTTTAAATTCCATACAAAAGAGTCTACTCTCATTGGAAAATGTAGGCAACCAGAAGTAAAATGAGTTAGAGAAAGATCTGTGTGTCCTTGACAGCTATCTCCACTTGAGTTTTGTGGTGTGGAAAATTTTCGTACGTGGACAAATTTCACTGAAGCTATATAGTTCAAGTTCAGCTAAAGGTGTGAAAAAGAAGAATACCAGAGGAGTATTACCTTTTGCTTTCTTTCTAGTTTTGTCAATGCTTAAAGTTTGTTATTATTCCTTTAAAAGCATGTATTTGTTATCTGCTGGTGTTGCCTAAGATGGATTTTAATTTAACTTGGAAGGATTATGTTTGCAAGCACTGCTTAATTTGCTGTCTCTAGAAGCTGATATCTTTGCTTTGTTGCAAAGAACAAGCATAGTGTGGGCACCAGATCAAACTAATTTCGTTTGGCTGCTCCTCCAGTCTGACTGAACTCTGATATGAAGGAACAAAAACTTTAAGGATAAGAAGGTAAATTATGTTTTCATCCTTATTCAATGTTTGGTGCAGTTATAGGGACTGTCAACAATGATGCTAATTATTGCTTTCTGTGCTGCAAGTGATCTCCAAATCCTATGGGACTCAGATCACCACTTCATTTCACAGAGACCAATGAACAAACATCAGATGGTGACAACCTTCAGTTGCTACCGACTGGGGCAATATTAATATTGCCATTTCCCACTAGTTACTTCTACTTACTCCTTATTCCCCTACTAATTAAAAACAACCCAACCATTTAGAAAATCTGATATTTCAAAAGTTATTAAAATGGATAATTCTACTCAAATGAAATAATGATTGGAAGAAGAAATACCTTGTCAGTGACATTGTCTGTTTTTATTCACATTTTTTTCCAACAGTTATGAGTTTGGGATTTGACATTTCAGCTTGTTCAAGATTGCAGAAGTTTATGCTCTTCAAATATAATCTTTACTTTCATATTCATTGTGAATCTTTAATAATAATACATTTTAAGGGTCAGCACACACCTTTCTGCTTAACTTTCTAACAGCAAGTGTTATATAAACCTTAGATCCTATCCTTAGTAATCCACGTAACACTTCTTATTCAGTCAAGTTATACTCTGAAAATCTTGTGAGAACACAAGGGTAAATAGCCATTCTGCTTTGAACTGTGAAGAAGTGATTAAGCCATCCAAATGATTATATGGTACCTTCAAGTAGCCATTAAGCACTTGGTAGAGGCTGTTCATAATTATTTTTATACTGTGGCTAGGACTTGCACTAAACTAATGGTACTAGCTATTTTTTTATGCACTAAAGACATTAGCTGACAGCCAGCTGAAGCATAGGCATTGCTTAGTCTCTTAAGCAGTCTTAATATTTTCAGACCCCCATGTGGTGAGCTGACAAGAATGTCTTCCCAGTATTTGAGAGCAGTGAGTATAAGTGCCAAGGGAACTGCTATTTATAAAATTTATATCACTGTCCTCCTGCTGGATTTTCAGACAATGAAGGAAATGGATTAGACAACAGGGACAATAAAGCTTACTTCACATGTTTCTTGCAGTTGTTTGGAAATTCCAGACAGTGTGCTTCACTTTGGAGGAACACATAATGTAAATCAGACTGATTCCTCTGAAATGTGGCTCCTAGTCGTACTTTAATTAAATTTATTCCTAGGTTAGTTTAGACTGAGTTAAATGAAATCAAAGACTAAAAAAACCAAAAAGAAAAGCCAGTTGGACAAAATGAGGGAAGAGCAGTATAAATGTGATCATAGCAGAAATGGATCCAACTTTTTTTGTGCTAGTTGCTTAGACATACACAACAGGAAAAGCTGACTGACAGTTGTGAGTTTCATATTTCTAATGCAATATAAAACTTTCCATTTCTGCATTGCTTACTCCTGTGCAATGAGAAGTGAAAAAACCACTCATTAAGTAACTATTTTTGTTTGCTGCATTTTGAGAAAGAAGATGGGACTTCATTTGTCAAATAAAAAAAATCACAGTTGCTCATGCATAAAAAAAAGAGAAAACACATTATTTATTTTCATGTTTGCAGTTTCAATAAAGACAGATTAATATGAGGTGAATTTGTCCTCTTGCTGTTGTATAATATCTTTGCAAGGCTTGGGTATTAGTGTTGGCCAATCTTGGCCATCTTGGCTAGATGGAATACTTCAGTCTACTCAGCAATCAACTCAAAAGACCTTTAATATTTTCACTTGCTTAAAATAGATGTTGACAAATTCACTATTCGTAAAAAGACAATTGATTTTAGTAAAAAAGACATTTTATTAACTTTTCTGGGCAGTGAAACTCACATAAACAGACAGTTTAGGGAATGAAACATTTTTAAGAGTACGGAGCATGACTGGGACAAACCTGAAGTATAGCAGTGTTAAAAAGTCTTTGAATTTCAGGATATGACATGATGAGAAAACCAAGCTTCCTTGCATCTTACGAAAGACACTACAATGCTAAGTAGGAGAAGTCAAATTAGCTGCAATGGCTTTCTCTTAAAGGTAATTAGGGGTATTCAACCTTGATGAAATACCATTTCACACTGGTTTTCCTGGTGAAAGAAGGAATATATTTATAACTGGTGTTTTACAAGCAGTATTAGGTGATAAGATTTAGTTTATTTATAATGAGAATATTTCAAAGTTAAATGAACTGCACTGTATTTTGCCTTTGAGTAAGGAGCTTTGATCTCAAACTCAACTTTTCCTGTTCCTCTTTATCCCATTCACTGTTAAACCAGCACTGCTGCAAGTTAGAAAACTTAATTCAAACATATTTTTGACTCTGAGAATCTTACTTGTTTCACACAGATAGGGTTGGTCAACAGTTTTTACTCCTTTTAGGTTCATGTGCTTACTTCCTAAGATCACAAGTTCAAGGTGGCATTTATTATAGAAGGGCTGCAATCAGATACCCAGAAAAATACAGAGTGGGATCAAAGTAACTGTCATAAATTCACACAGTTTTAGACAGATTTATCTTTCTGAAGTGTTTGGTAGCTTTCAGTTTCTCAAAGATAACAGTAATTCATTGCGATTGAAAGAAAAGATATTTAAGAAGAAGGAAGCCAAGTCCTGAGGAGGCCACAAAGATAAGCAGGGGCCTGGAGCACCTCTCTTATGAAGACAGGCTGAGTTAAGGTTGTTCAGCCTGGAGAAGGCTCCGGGGCGACCTTATAAGCACCTTCCAGTACCTAAAGGGAGCCTACAAGAAAGTCAGAGAGAGGCTTTTTACAAGAGTCTATAGTGAAAGGACAAGAGGGAATGACTTTAAACTGATAGAGGCCACGTTTAGACCTGAAGAAATTCTTAATTGTGTGGGCATGAGGTACTGGAACAGGTTGCCCAGAGAAGCTGTGAATGCCCCATCCCTTGGAATGTCCAAGCTCAAGGTGGATGGGGCTCTGAGCACCGTGGTTCAGTGGAAAGTAGCCCTGTCCATGGCAGAAAGATTGGAATGAGATGACCTTTAAGTTCCCTTTCAACCCAAACCATTCTATTATTCTGTGATTCTACTATTCAAACTGTACAGTTTCAAGAGACTCTGAGAGACCCTGTACTGCTATGTATCACATGTATATTCATAAATTTTGTTCTGAGGCATTTTCAATCTAAATTTATTAAAGAATGCAAATGCATACAGCAAAAACCAAAGACCTAGAAACAAAGAAGCATAATAGTGTATTAATAAATCATAACAGAAAGAATAAATGATGAATGCCACCATAAATTGTTAAAGAAATATTTCTGTCAAACCACTGCATGGATTTACAGTACTGCCTGAGAGCAAGTGTGGGGTAGGGTTATGGACCATGGAGTAGGGCTATGGATCATGGGTCTTCAAGTGACTGTAGAGCTATGCAAAGCACATAAATATGGAAAACAGATGGAAACCATGCCTGGTGGTTTCAAGAAGCATTGAACTCATTCTCTGAGCATATTGCAATTGTATGGACCAAATGCTATATGCAGGTTATTCAGAAAGCATTAGGCCTTTTTCACTTTTGCTAAGAATTCACAATATTTTTGTACTGTATATTTCCAAACAGACAGCAGATAGGTGATTAATGTACACTAACACAAACAATATGCAACATATTCAAAATCTAGGTAAGACCTTTCATCATAGACTGAACTACTGCACATCCAGAAAATTTGAACAAAGGACAATGTTTACAGGTGACAGAATACCAAAAGAGGTATATGGGGTTGAGGGAAACTCAACAGTTTTAAGGTAGATGGATACTGAGTATATCTGTGCAAAAAGTAGGTGTGGAGGTTTGATGGGTGCAAAGCTTAACGAATTAGATTTTTAAAAAGGTACTTTGCTATATCTCATGACCAAATGTGCCTCATATGAACTGTATATTTAAATGATGCAGTTATATTCAGTCTTCAATGCTGTTTTGTCACTGCTGCTTTTGCAACAGATGAATTGAAATAAAGCTTGTTCTAACAAGGTTAGCTCTTGCATAGCACCTTTTATCTTAAGAGAATTTCATAAACATTTAATAAAGTTCAAACTATAAATATAGTACCAAATTACTTGGGAACTTTAAAATAAACATTTATCTTACCCATAAAACATCTTGCATAAAACTATGGAAGATGCTACCAGTCCAAATACAACATTGAAATATTTATTTCTAGGAAACACTTACTATATGATATGAAAAAAAAATATTTTGCCAATATCTTGCTAGGGTCAGTCCAGTGCTACTCCTGAGAGATAAGAGCATGATTATTTCTGCATCTTTAAGTCAGGGAAGCTGTAGCAAATCTAGAAACACATTGGCTTCTTGTATGCTGAGAGAGACTTAAAAATCTTTATTCTGAAGAGTGATTGAAGAAACTTCAAAACGTCGCAGTGTATAAAGTGTATTCAGTGCCAAAATATGACATTTATGTGAAAATGCAAACAAGAAATGGAACCAGAATAATTCTATTATAGACATTATAGCCGGTGTCTTCTTGGTTTATACTTTTGTCTTTATTAAATGCTTTAAAATTATGTAGTATGACTATTTGTATATAATGCTGAATGCTAAAATATTCTTTCTGAGACAGTTTGAAGTATAATAATGAGGTTTTAAAGCTAAGCTTTTGTTAAAGAAAATCTGCTGCTGTGTGAAAATATGACTTGTCCTGGCCTGTGCTATGTGTTCCACATTTGGGATTTCAGAGAGAAGAGGATATAAACCTTTCTTATTTAAACAATGGATCCATATTTCTTTGTTTGCAGAGTGAGAAACAGCACAATGCATGTTTTTTGGGCTTGACATTGAAACAGCATTTTTGTTATTAATGGATGAACCTACAAAACTTAAAGCTTATCTGAGTCTATTTTAATATTTGTTTTTTCTTCCTTCAAGAAGTCACTACATGAAGCTTGTTTGAGAGCAATGGGACTTCCTGGGAGTGCTGAGCCCCTTACAGGACTGAGGCCATGGAGTGCCAAATTTTCTTAAAGTTATCAAATAATTACATAAATCTATTCAACTAAAGATATTTACATACATTGTAACCCAGAATCTTCAAATGGTTAAGGAATGTTATGTATGTCCTGAGATTAAAGCAGTAGAACAGCCTATTTCTCATGTTTTTTCAGTAAAATTGTGCTTTCATGGAAATAATATTTATTGGATGCTACCATCAAACAAAACTGTTTCACCAAACTTGAAGACATGTAATAATTTAGAAAACTCACTCTCTCTAACCTATAATTTATTTTTTCATGAAGCTATGTATTAAAAGAGAGGAAGTATTTTTATAGTTCATTTTCCATTCATTATTTTCCACAAAAATATTAAGAAATGGTATATAGGTCTTAAACCTCAGGACCCTCTTCCT